CTTTTCTAAAACCCCGTTTTTTTCTTCTCTTTACCTTTGTAAACAAAATACTGCTATAGCGCTATCAGATACACTTGCGAGTCGGTTATAGCGGAATATTGCTGCTGCTGTGCACATGGCATGGGCCAATTATACACAATGCAAGACCTCGCCAGTTGAGAAACTTGTTGCTGATCTTGCGCAACAAAGAATAGGAAAGCCCATGTGTGTCAAAAATGAAGGCCGGAGCGACTGATTAGGGAGGGTGTGGCATGCGGAGACAAGCAGAACGCATCGCGTGATAGGCCAGTTTAGATTATCAAGGCCTGCCATGCCTCTCAGTTCTCCGAAGCGGGGATAGAGAGGTCACAGCAATGTGATGGACGGAGCGAATGTGTGACGGGCGCAAGCAGACTGAATGCACCACAAGGTGGGTTGGGGTGGGAGGAAAACACAGCGGGCGAGTTAGCCCAGATCCCTTTCTTTCTGATCGCCAACGCCGAGCTGTCAGTCCACATCGCTAGATCTAGCGCTAGAGAAACAAACCTGATTCGATTTTTGATCAAGTAAGACCTAGAGGTCATGTTGAAACAAAATCATCATCAGGGGAGATAGCAAAAAGAAAAACAGAACACCAAACTCATAGATTAGGCCTACTTTACAGTTTCCCTTGAATTTATTACTGGATCCATAGCGAGAATCCTGCTATAACGAACATTTTGCTTCGTTCCCCTCCCTCTCGTTATATCAGGATTCCAATGTATATAGTATAATCTGTCCTCAGAGAAAGCTGCATTTGAAAATAGCAAAAGTTGCAAGAAAAATCAACAAAAGTTGTAAGAAAAGTTGCAAAACGTGTATAGCTAAAAATGTCATGGAATTATTGGAATATATTGTTGATATGCTCATTGCAATCAAAGTAACCAATGTGAGTTTTGTTAGATCAAAATCAAAAGTTAAATGAGAATGTTTACCGTACCCAAAAAAAAACAAATAAAAAAAACAACCCAACTGCATGGAGGTTGAATGGTGTACAAAAACAGTTTGTCCCCTGACACATGCGTCAGGTCCTCAAACTTAAACTCCCGCTGACGTTGGGCAGGTGTGACCAGCGTGGTTTTGGGGCTGTTTAAATATAATCTTACACCTTTTGGGGGATTTTTGTTCCCACCCCCCTACACTTTTCTTACATTTTCCTCCTCTCTTCCCCCCCCCCCCCCCCCCAAATCCCGTAATACTAATATTTATTTGCTTATAATAATATGACATTTATATTGCGCAAATCTGTGTTACAATCATTGTTCTATGTGCTTTACTTTTATAGTATTCATGAAAAACATACATACACACACGTGACATAATAATTAAATATGATATAAGCGGAACTTTTCCGGAAAAACTTCTATGTGAATAGCAATAGCAGAGTTTACTCTTTTTTATGTCATGTTTTGTTTTTAAAAATTTATGTTGTCATAAATTATTTTCCTTGTTCTTTTTTCACCTTACAAAAGTGTAATATTACAATGGTTCAGGACCCCCCCCCCCCCCCCAATTTCTTACACTTTTCTTTTACAAGAGTCAAGACACCCCCCTCCCCCCCTTATAGGCCTTTTCCAGGCGTAAGATTATATTTAATCGTCCCCTTTAGGGGTTTTCTGGATGAATCGATCCATGTCTAGATCTACGAGGGCTGTCCCACGGAAAACCGGAATTTGGCTGTAATTTGAAAAGTATTCAATATTTTCACATTCTGTAAACACATATTTGTAAAACAATCATTTAGGAGTTTCCCGATTGAGCACCATGAGCATCGCACAAACCAAACGAACACAGCAATTCTCCAAAGATGGCTACCCCCTTGGAAAATTGGTCAAGGGTAGAAGTGAAGTCTCTCATTCGGTTTCTGACCGCAAAAGGTCTCAAACCTATAGAAATACACACTGAAATAAAGTCAGTTTACGGGGAGAAAGTAATGGCAAAGTCACAGGAATATGAGCGGTGTAGTAAATTCAAAGCCGGGCATACGGATGTCAATGACAAAATTCACCCAGGACCTTGTTTTCCTGCCAAGACTGAGGACAACAAGAGTCGCGTTAACAAATTCATTCAAACAGACGACGCTTATTAAAATTTCGCGAAATTACTGAATCGCTAAACATTTCAAAGTCGACTGCCCATAGGATAGTGTTTGATGAGCTGCACTATCGAAAGGTCTCTGCTCGATGGGTCCCAAAAGAATTGACAGCTGACCACAAGACGCAACGTGTTGAAGTGTCTCAGACTTTGTGGAATCGTTGTCGCCAAGCTGTCACGGGAGTCATGAACGCATCTGGAGACATCCAACAATACGATTAAGCATTCCAGAGAAGCATTATTACTGGTGATGAGACTTGGATACACCACATGGCCCCTGAGACGAAGAGGGATTGAATGGTTTGGAAGCACACGTCTTCACCTCCCCCCCCCCCCAAAAAAAAAGTTTAAAGTTCAGCCATGGATGAAGAAACCCATAGCCACGGTTTTCTGGGGTTCTAAAGGTGTTCTGCTTTTTTACATTCTTGAACCAGGAAAAACTGTTAGTGCTAACAGACACTGCCAGACTCTTGATAAGTTGAGAGAGGTAATGCGCCGAAAAAAACCAGGCCGGTTGTCCAGCGGGGTCATTTTGCAGCATGACAACGCAACGCCACACACCGCAACCGCTATGAAACACTGGATCCCAAGACTGGGAAGTTCTGCCACACCCCCCTCATAGTCCTGACTTGGCCCTGTCAGATTATCACCTTTTTGGACTAATGAAACGCGACATTTCTGGACAGCGATTCACCGACGACGAAGACCTCGTGGAAGCCGTGAAAGATTAGTTGAAATCCCTTGACGTAAAATTCTTCAGGGAGGGTATCTCCCTTATCCAGCGATGGGAAAAATACGTCCAGCGGGATGGTGATTACATTGAAAAATTAACCACATGTTGATGTATGATGTACTACATTTTTGTTATAATAGGACAAAAATTGTTGCTTTTATGGACCTTTTCCGGTTTTCCGTGGGACAGCCCTCGTACCTTCCTGGCCTAAGAAAAAGATTTAAAGTCTTTCACAAATTTTTATACTAGATCTATCTACCTGGTGCTACGGAACCAAGCAAGCTAACTAATCAGACGATTGTGTCCGATTGAGTTTACTCTAGATATCTAGATCTAGAGTCTAGATTTAGCTAGATCTAGAAGAAGTAGAAAATGATTCAGTCCAAACAGGACTATTGGGGAGGTTAGGTCGGGACGGGTCGGTTTGCTCGACAGACTGATAGCGCAAAGTGGCTATCGTGGCACAAATCGATTGCGCCCGACTCGTTGCCTAAAAAACAAACGCGTTGTTTTCAGGCAACGAGTTGGGCGATCATCCGCAACGGGCACTGGGCACCCCGTAGTGCAAGTGCAAGGGAAGTGGTAGATCTAATTTCAGGTACGAATTGCCCCCCTTCGTGTCGTTATTTTTAGTTGTGGAAGAAAATTTCGGTTATTTTTACCGAAATTAAATTATTATTTTTCCAACTTTTGCAGAAAAATGCCTAAAATTCGTGAATTCACAAAAATGGCAAAAAGTTGCGTGCGCAACTTGCGGGTTGCGCGCGCTAATTTCTCTAAGGCCAGTATAATATAGCGACGGAAATCTTTCTTCTCTAAAATTTTCTTCTTTCACATCCTTTCCTGATCTCTAACTCTAACCATGTTCTGTCGTCTGCTTTCGTCTCCACTTTCTGCCCCCACCCTTTTGCCCCCTCATCTGAGGACCCTGACTCTTTCTGCTGCTACTCCTTGGCTCCTTCTTACTGCTGTCTTTCAGACACACTGCTGATCTTTTGGTAGGAAAGATCTACACCTAGCATTCTCAGACAAAGGCGAAAAATCTCGGAGGTCCCGTGTGCAAGTTGCGCACGTTAAAAAGATCCATTGGAGGTCCAAAATCGATAAAAGTAGGCTTCGGCCGCCATCCGGGCAAAATTCCAAATTTCCTACCAACCGAAAATATTTAGAGTGTCCCGCGCGCTCATAATCATATGGCCATATGCAGTTGCGAGCGCTGTAAAAAAAAGTGTAAGAAATAGTACCGTAATATGAACCTGGTTATAACTTGTGCAGACTCGGATATACAGTGATCTTGCAGCACATAAACTTGCTTTCAATCCGTCAAATCATTAAAATTTGTCTAAACCAACACATTTCACCTGTTTGTAGGATCACTTGTCTCTATCTAAACACAAACTTTCAACCCTCCCATAATGTTGGGGTCACTGATCGATTTTGTCTCAGTGTCAGCAAAACAGCCCATTGACTGAAAAAGGATCTGTGGCAATCGAATGCTGAAGGTGCAATGATATTGGTAAAGGTTATGACATGACTCGCTTAACAGGGAAAAACTGATGGCCCCGTCTGTCCCATTGTATCCGAGCTTGACTGAAGTAGTAGGACCAACCACCTGGTAACCATTTCACTATTGAAGTATGACTGTTTAAGCAAGGCTTTTATTGCATTTGCAGTACAATTAAGCCAAGTAAATGTCGAAGGTTAGAGTGTTACAAGAGACTACTGTAACATACCCAAAAAAGGAGGAGTGATTAAGACGACAGATGTTCGATAGGAAAGAAGCAGCAACAAGGCAGTACATGCACACAAAAAAAATACAACTTGGAAGTTGAAGCAGAAAACAAGACATTTCTTAGTTTTTGTAAGAGTCTTACCGCACTTGCAACACAATAAGGTCATATAAGTGCCGAAGAATAGATGTGTTACAAGAGAGTAACATACACAAAAAACAAGGAGGAGAGATGAGGACGATAGATGTTCGAGAGGAAAGAAGGAGCAAACCACACCAGAGCACCAACCGACCACCTACAGACAAGACATTGGATCAACAGAAACAAAAGAGAATTAGAGAAGAAAGAGGAGCAACTAGTGCTACCCTCCAACCCCCCTGCGGATGTTGAGGTAATTCAAGAAACCAAAAAGAAACGAGGACATCCAATTTTTGGAACTTCATAGATTTATTGGACAAGAGGTCACAGCAAAGACAAAGGAAGCTGGGCTACATTAATTTTTGTATTTTACAACAAAGTTCTAACATTGCTTCTTTGCGCTGACTTAAAAAAAACAAAAAACAAGAAAAAAAGGACTCAAATGTGGAACAGACATACAATACAGCAAGAAATACTGTATGAATAAATAGTGTATGTCTTTTTGCATTCCCTTTCATACTGAACATTCATACTTCAATCATAATAAACTCTAATCATGAAATAGATGAGTACATATCAGACGACTCTACCAGGTATAAGTTCCATCCTGTAGTAAGTCAGTTGTTTAGTTGTTTACGAAAAAATATGTATTTTTTCAAAATAGAAAAATACATGAAAGTGTCTTTTACAATATACTAGCAAGATGCTGAGATCCTTAAATAGAGTTTTTTTGTTGTTGTAAAAATGAGAATTGTTGATATACAACTGTAGGCTTTCAGTCTAGCCTATAAGAAGTCATAGAATCAGTTATCAAAGTAGTAAAAAAAATTAGTTTTTGAGCGAAAAGTCTCGCTGACTGCATCTTAGGCTTTATGAGAAAAACTGCAGTTCATCATCTTTGGTCTTGCACAGTTGATATGCGCTCAGCTCAGGCAGTCTGTTTTCATTAGGCAGTGGCTTGAACACTCGCAAGTGAACATACTCATCCGCATCCACTTGAACCTGATGGAAGATGGAAGAGATATAAAAAATATACAGTATAACACGGATAGCTCGAATTCGTCGGGACCAGCCTCGGTAGTTCGAGGATATCTTACAAAAGATAAAAAACAAAAAACGGGACCGCAGGCACAATTCGACGGAAGCGTGATTTCGAGTCTTCTGTGTTCGACCTATCCGTGTTATACTGTAGGCATAGCCTAAGTTCAAACAATGAACAATAAAACTTTTTCTGAATATGTATACTATGAATAATGTCTTGCTTTTTGACATTTCAATTCTAATTCTGAAAAAAAACACACAAATAGTTTACATTTTCTTATGATAAATCAATTTTTTTAAAATTCAGTTCCTGTAGCCCCCACACATGTCACTTACTTCCACATTTTTGCCTCAATCAACAGAAGACAGTGTCTTGGACTTGGACTCTCTGAGCAACAAACAGTGTTTTAACAAACAGTGCTTTAAGGGTTCTGTATTATAATACATACCATGTTCCATTAACTTCATATAGACATATATGAGACGGCACAACCACTAACCTAAACTATTCCAGAAACTCCGCTGCGAGATTACTTCCTTCTCTCACTTTCAGGCCCCACCCTATGTTTTCCTATTTACCTTCAGCACTACAACTGAACATTTTCTCATGCACCTTATAAAGGCAAAACTTTTTTGTCTGGAATGACTTGCAATTGAAATCCCTGTAATAATTCTTGAATGCCCCCCCCCCCCCCCTCCCACAACATGAAAACTTACAATAATGGTCATAAAAATAATTTATAAAAATAAATTACATGTTTATTTTATTGATCCCAGAAGGGAAGCTTGGCTTACATTGGCAAACTTACATGACATACATAAATACATATACAAAATAAATATATACAAACAATCTACACCAATACAGAGCAATTTCACAACCATGCCATTGCTGGTCGCCACTGTGCATTAGTAGTGATGCATGGAAAAAGTCAATAAAAAAAAAGTGACTGTAAAGAAAATAGGATCTACTGGTGACACTTTTACCCCCATCCCACCACCCTCTTCAGATACACAGTATAATCCGTTTATATCAATATGCTTAGAGAAGCGGATCTGATGTTTATACATATTATAATATATATAAAAATGTTGATAAATGAAAATATAAAGCCAAAGAGGAAAAACTAGGGGAGGTCAGCAGTAAAAAGACAAGACAACATTATTTTTTTTATCTGGTCGCTTCCCTTGATTCTCTTTTTCCCCATGATACGGGGGTTTAAGGAAACTAACAAGAGGCAGACGGGAGGGGGAAGGGGGTGGAGATATAGTACCAAACACTGAGCAACGTGAGGCGCAAACCAAACACCAGCGCAAACTTTGTTGTAGCATCCTTGTAAGGCCTGTTTATGGCCGCTTGCTGGGGAAAATGGAAAGGCGAAGCACTGACTCACTGACCATGGCACTTGTCAGTGACAGACTGAGAATGGGATGGGGAAGGGAGTGAGCGGTCGGGAGTGGGGGTAGGCAGGAGATGCCCAGCGTGTGAGATGTTCACGTCTCTGAGGCACTGTACTGTGTTGGAGACTACACTGACGACACTGTGTAGGCCCTACATGACCTACTAAAGCCTGGTGTGTCAATCTAGGCTACTTGGCGGGTATGCAGACTCAATGAAGAACTAATGTGTTGACCATTAGCGTGGCTTTTCCCCCCATTTATGTTCGTGGGCTTCGCCAGGTACCCAGGAAGCATGTCGATAAAGCAGAGTGGGCCAAAAAAAATAGTTGAAAAGAAATCGTTTAGTGAAGATATAGAAGGAAAAATTTCGTAATTGGAAAATATGTCGATATGTTAAAATTTAGATAAATCGGATGTCGATGTAAGTGTATTATACTGTAAATGTATTCAGTTCTTTTCCCATGACCCTACATTGCATCAACTCAGTAGAAACTAAACACTGACCCTCATGAAGCAATTTGGGAAAAATTAAAGCATATATACCCTCCCATTCCCCTTCCCACTTCAAACAGCTTGACCTGATGCTTGAGATCTGAAATCAATGTGACGCTGCAGCTACTTTTTACATTTACAGGAACAGGATATACTTGTGATTATCGTGAACCATAAAAAGATATCGACAAAGGAGGGGGATTGGGGGGTGGCGGCGTTTACTTCAAAAATTTTTTTTCAAAACCTACCTTGACAAAGTAGTTTGTGCCAGCAACCACTTGAGTTCTGTAAGTCACTGCCTTGTACTGGGAGAAAGTTTTGCCAGCCTTTGTCTCCAGTGCCTCACGCACCTGGAAAAACAGTTACAGTTTAAGTAAAGAGAAGCACACCGACTCTGTTACTGTTATTTTGTGTAATGGGGCAAGTAGACAGACAGACAGAAACAGCGGAGCAATAAAAAAGTAGGGCCTGCCTGCCGTGTTCACTAGCCACCCTCTGAAAAATAAAAAAGGAAAGATATATAAGATACACTAGTCAGGCATGAGGCTTGACCTGCACATTTGGTGAACACTATCATTCATTCTCTTTCAGAACTCCTCTCATAGTTGAACAAACGGCGGTGAGCACAGAGATGATTAAGAGCTATTGCACAAATTAGACTATGTCGAATGCTATGACTGTTACAGACTGAACTGGTCTAGTTTTTTTACAGTACAGTGGAATCCTGTTATAACGAGAGGGAGGGGACTGGTGCGATATGTCCGTCATAGCAGGATTCTCATTATAAGGGATCCAGTAATAAATTCAAGGGAAATAATAAAGTAGGCCTTATCTATGAGTTTGATGTTATGATTATTTATTTTTGTTTTATCTATCTCCCCTGATGATGATTTTGTTCAACATGATCTCTAGGTCTTGCTTGATAAAAAATCGAATCAGATTTCTTTCTCTATCGCTAGATCTAGCGATATGGACTGACAGCTCGGCATTGGCAATCAGAAAGAAAGGGCTCTGGGCTAACTCGCCTGCTGTGTTTTACCCCACCCCACCCCACCCTGTGGTGCATTCGCTCCATCCATCACAGCACTGTAACCTCTCCATCCCCGCATCGGAGAAGTGAGAGGCATGGTAGGCCTAGATAACCTAGATTAGGCTGGCCTATCATGTGAAGCGTTCTGTTTGTCTGTGCAAGCCTCATTTTCCCCACTCATTCCCTCCGGCCTTTAATGTTGGGGGACACGTGGGCTCTCCCATTCTTTGTTTTGCTCATGGAGTTGTGAGGTCCTTGGTTTCGCTAGATCACCAACAAGTTTATCAACTGGTGAGGTTTAATATGTAGCCTATAATTGGTCTATGCGCTGTGCACAGCAGCAGCAATATTCCGCTATAACCGACTAGGGTGTTTGTCTAATAGCACTATAGCAGTATTTTATTTACAAAGATGAAGGGAAAAAAACCGGGGTTTTAGAATAGTGTCTTTATAACAGGCTTCTCGCTATTTCAGGACTCGTTATAAGTGGACTCCACTGTAAATGTTTTTCAATAAGCTTGAACATGGAACATTTCATACGACATATAAGACAGCAGATTATGGTTTTTGTGATGACTTGGCGGTGAACTTAACTATTATTCTGGAGGAAATCTTTGACAACATGATGACATTGACAACCCAATCCTTCCAAAACCGTGGGCCGAATGTCTTAAGCTTTAATACTTAGAAGCGAGGAGAAACTAAATATCCTGTGCAAAGTGATAAACGTTGGTACATGTATCAACCCTATTCTAGAGAGATACAGTGGAGTCCACTTATAACGAGTCCAGAAACAACGAGAAGTCTGTTATAAAGACACTATTCTAAAACCCCGTTTTTTTCTCCTCTTTACCTTTGTAAATAAAATACTGCTATAGCGCTATCAGACAAACATGCGAGTCGCTTATAGCGGAATATTGCTGCTGCAGTGCACAGTGCATAGGCCAATTATAACATAATGCAAAACCTCGCCAGTTGAGAAACTTGTTGGTGATCTAGCAAAACAAAGAAGAGGAGAGCCCATGTGCGTCAACAGTGAAGGCTGGAGCGACTGAGTTGGGAGGGTGTGGCATGCGCAGACAAGCAGAACGCATCGCGTGATAGGCCAGCGTAAGCCTAGTTTAGATTACCAAGGCCTACAATGCCTCTCACTTCTCCGATGCGGGGAAGGAGAGGTCACAGCAATGTGATGGATGGAGCGAATGTGTGAGGTGTGCAAGCAGACGGAATGCACCACAGGGTGGGGTGGGGTGGGGTAAAACACAGCAGGCTAGTTAGCCCAGAGCCCTTTCTTTCTGATTGCCAACGCCGAGCTGTCAGTCCATATCGCTAGATCTAGCGCTAGAGAAAGAAACCTGATTCGATTTTTGATCAAGTAAGATCTAGAGGCCATGTTGAAATAAAATCATCATCAGGGGAGATAGCAAAAGGAAATAAACAGAACACCAAACTCATAGATTAGGCCTACTTTACAGTTTCCCTTGAATTTATTACTGGATCCCTTATAGCGAAAATCCTGCTATAACGGACATAAAGCTCCTGTCCCCTCCCTCTCGTTATAACAGGATTCCACTGTAATAACTTTGGTATCTTTTTGAGGTAGAGCCATAACCTAGTAGTTTAAGAGAGGGGAAGAGAAAAGGTGGTAGAAAGAGTGCAGAGACGATACTAAATATTAAAAAAACCCAAAGAAAACAAAGGGTAAAAAAAATTATTTGAATTTGGGGTCATGCTCATCATGTATCCTACAATTGGCTGAGTACCAGTAATTCGTCACACGATCATTTCATCACACCGGTGCAGGCAAGACGTCACAGTCATCTCGTCACACCCCAAATCCACAAGGTTGAATGGAGATGGTCATTTCTTCACACACTTGCAAACATCAAACGCGAATTGTCGTGGCAATGGCAAATCACTATTTTTCGGGGAGGGTTAGACAGTGTGTGGAAGGACGGGGGGAAGGGGGTTGTGAGTCGTCAAGCCTACCTAATCAGCAACACCGTTCAGAATTGGGTGAGTTTTGTTTGAGTTGTATTTATTGGTGGAGGGGTGGGGGGGGAGGCTTAAATTACTTCAAAACAAAAGGGCAAAGCCCAACGATTACGTGCTTGAATTGGTGATTTATAATAAAGACTGCAATTTATGCTAATCTTCCTAAACTTTAATAACAATTTTGGAGAGATATAAGCGAAGTCATTTAGTCACACATGTGTATTATAATTGTTGGGGTGTGATGAGATGATCGGGGGACGAAATGACCGGTTTTCAATTGGAGGACAGTGGATCATTTCCTGTCGACATTATAATTTTAGTGGTGATCTTTTATACTTTAGCACGTTAAATTCCCAAAGTCTACTAATCCCCGACTCAGACCTTCAAAACTTTGAACTGGGCCTAAAAATGTGCAAACTACCGTAATTTTGTCATGAACAGATCGTATAACAGTGGTTTTCAGTCTTCCATCATGATTTTGAAAGCCACTGAGTATAATCTTGATGACATAGAATTTTTATCCAGATCTGTAAGTGGTCGCTCGTTTCGGAAGTCCTCAATTGAAGAATTTAACGTGCTAAAGTATAAGATCACCATTTTAGTTACTGCTCTACCCACTTCACTTTTCAGTTTGAGCGAGAGTAAGTAAAAATCCAAGACAAAAGTTCTGGATCAGGCACAGGTGATATAGATCTAGAATATATAGCCACTCATTTCTCAATGAGAGTGGCTATTCTCACCCGCCCGGAAGTTCTCGCAAGATCAACTCCTCCCCTCTTCTCTCTCTCTCTGTCTCTTTCTGAATACTGTCTATCGGTGTGGACGATCAAATTGACCAAAACAAAGTTAAAAAATGATGTTAAAACACAAAAGTAAATTAATTTGGTTGTCTACAAAGATGCTACGGCTATTTAACTTTTCGAATCGAGCCGAACTACGCGGGTCGCCATTTTGTTTTGCCCGGAAATTCTCGCGCTACTCCTCTCTCTCTTTCTCTCTCTCTCCACTGCCCACAGACAAAATTGTACGCTTTTAGTAGGCGACAGTTGTAATGGAATGTTTGTTCACGGCACAGAATTCTGCAGTTTTTCTGTTATCACAGTGTAGAATTCTGTGGTTTAGGGTGAACGCAAAATTTGGTGAACGCGCACCGGATGAGAATAGCCACAAGACTCGCCTGCACTATTCTCACTCCGGGTGAGAATAGAGGTGGCCTTTCTCAATATGCTCGCAAAAAACCTTCACCCACAGGCCTAGATCTAGATCTAGATCTAGATCTAGTATTAAGGAAAAGGTGGAAAATACTTTTTATACAAAATTCTTCTTCTCTGGGCTTTCCCCCAACCTACACTCTTAAGTTCTCAAAAGACAGTCACTTTTTCTGCTTCTGCCTTCTAGAGAGCTTTTTCCTTCTATTTTTCTTTTTAGTGAGATGATGTTAAAACGTTTGTGTTGGTCTTCAATAAAGTATAAAAAGGTTCTAGAACAAAACATGACATACCTGCTCAATAAGGGTCTGGACAGACTGATCGGCTTCTTTATCCTCAACCAAACCTCCAGGCATGCTCGCCATTATAATGATGATAGTTATAAGGAAGTAAAAAAGAAGCTTTCTTGAAAATAACACAAAATTTTTATAACTGCTCAACCTGCCTTTGCATCAACTGCTTCAACTTTCACCTTGTGCGGGGGAGTGGCAACATTATTCGGCCTAGCGCAATCTCTCTTTTAAATAATGAAGTGTGAACATTGGCACACAATGAACCATCCACTTTGAGAAAAAGCAGCATTTGCTACAGTACAAACCTTTCTTTACCAACATTTCAAATCCAGTATACATGATCTTCTATTTAAGTCTGCTTATCTAGATCTAGAATCTAGATTCTAGATTTAATTTAGAATCAATCTAGATCTAGATCTAGATCTAGATCTAGATTTTCTAGTACCGTGCCGTACTAGAGATCTCGATTTATTACAATTTGTTCATGTCTACACTACACCAGATCTAGATTCTAGATATCTAGATCTAGACCTACACACAATAACATCTATCAAATAAGTTTAGGCCTATTCTAGATCTAGATTCTAGAAGATAAAATAAGTACAGTAAACTAACACTTAATTAAACAACTTACCGAACCAATCAAGGTCTGGACTTCTGCATCAGCGTCCTGAGCAGGGGCGGTACCACCACAAAGCATTGTGAACGACACTAGATCTAGAGACTGGGGGAGTTGAGTTCAAATCGACGGTCAGAAGCGGACTGATTTTGGGGTTCAACGCAGATCCTTGGTTTTGTCACGGCGACGATAACATGAAGTTGTCTATTGTGTTGATAACAGAGGTTAGGCCTTAGTAGGTCTAGATCTTTACAAAAAGCCCACGCTCACGAAGTTGTAAATCATGTGATCAAAACATCATGTGATTTCTAGTCACCACAGTCGCTGTCATGAGAACGTTCGTCACGGAGATAACTGCCGATAACACTGTGCATGTTTGCTAGTTTTGCTCGTTATCTCCCATGACAACGTAGAAAACACTTTCAAAAGACAATAATAATGCGTGTATCAGCCCACTAAAGGCACAGACAGACGAACAAAACACAAGCACGCGCCCGCGCGCACGAGCACGCATGCTTGAACACTCACAAAACATGCGTACGAGGACATAAACAAGCCACTACAATTGAGAAGAAGGAGAAAAACTATAATAACTCGTCCGCCTCAAAACATATTAATACCTTGTACTTGTATAGTTTTTTTGTGATTTTTCTTTTGATTCCTCAGCCTTGAGATACTTGAGATGTTAGCAGATCTATATATGACAATCCTGCTTTGTCTTTTCTAGGAATACTTTTTTCAACGTAACATCAGTTTGATATGAAAGGGAATTTCTCCACGAGAATGTTGGATTTTTTTTTTCTTCGCGTTCCATACTGAGGTTGAAAATAAGCATAATAATATTTAGGCGTACTGTACAATTCTAGAACACCATTGTTTCAATCTATGTTTCTTTCTCTTTTTTTTCTTCCTTTTTGTTCTTGTTGTTCTTCAAACAAGCAAACTTTCCCTTGAAACACACGTTAATTAGGAATTTCCAAAAACCGAAAAATTGTGCGCAGGCAGGGAGCCATACTACATATTGGGAAGAGAAGAAAAACAATTAGCTTACTTGTATCAGACATGAAGTTTGACGACATGATACAAGTCACACTGTAAGTCATTACATTTATTTGACTCATTGAATCATTTTTTTTTCTAAGAATTTTTTTTTAAAAACCCACTTTTTAAAAAATCAACTTTCGGACCAGAACCAGTTGGCCACAGTTAGTATTAAGACAAATGCGGGAAGCTGGTGTCAAAAGAGGGTCGGGTAGAGACGGAAATGTCAGAGGCATATTATCCAACCAGCTGATGACTGACACAACCAGCGCAGACCCTTTCATAGATCCTAGGAGGGAGGATGAGCAGCTATAGCATTGAGCCACCAGCGGTGAAGCCTAGTTATTCTCCAACCAAGTAACCAAGTAGTCTAGGCCTAATTTTAAATCAAATTTTACAAGTACAAAGCACTGAGAAATCGGTGCAGGAAGTCAAAATGTATTTGAAAAAAAAAAAGAATCTAATAAAAACCTGATGTCTTTTTAGGTGGACGATCCATTATAAGAGGAATTATGATGTTCCTAGTGAGCGGATCATTAATTCAATACTGTTGTTAAAGTAAAGTGTTCCACGTAAATGAGAAACTAGGGGAAAGGGCACAGGTAAAAAGTAAGAGGTGAAAAGACACTGTCAAAAAGCTTACTATCCGATAACCGGCCTCACACTTGACATGGCGGTGAGTCATGTACTTTAGAAGGTCTGCACGTAAAAATGGTGGGAAGAGGAGGGGAGAGAGAGAGAGAGAGAGTGTGTGTGTGTGTGTGTGAGAGAGAGAGAGAGAGAGAGAGAGAGAGAGAGAGAGAGAGGAGGGAGAGAGAGAGAGAGAGAGAGAGAGAAAGTGAGA